AAAAAAAAAAAAAGGCACACAAGTGATTAGAATATCCCCAGATGGGGACATCTGCACTAACCCCACAAAGCAACAAGCAAATCTTCCAACAGCCTGCAGCACTGGTACTGCACTGCCCCCATGTAGGTGGCTTGAGTACAGAGTCGGACATTTCCAGTACAACAGCCGCAAAACAGCAGATGCAGCTCTATCTTTATGGCTTCTGCCTTCCATTCTCACAGACCTCGATAAAACTCACTCCCCAGCCCCCAAGTTTTGGAAGCTGGGCTTCCTCCTGCTCCACCCTCTCCCCACACCTCAGAGGCAGCAACTCTCCAAACAGGAGATTGTTTTGATACTAGCAACTCACAATTTATGAACAAGGTGGTTTCGGAGATCCTGAGTAATGTCTTCATGCCACTGCTTTCTAATTCCGGTATTGGATGGTTGAGCTGTTGGCATGGCTCCCAAATTGGCAACGTTGGTGCTTTCACTCATCATGGGGCTTCAAAAACAGAGCAAGAATTGAGGGCAAAAGTCTAGCCCAAGCTTAGTCATCTTACAGTCATAGCCTCTTCTAGAATAATGTTAGGACAAAGTGCTAGTTCAACCATTCCCTAATCAATGGACAAACTCTGCAGAAATAGCTGCACAGACACCAAAACAGCGCTGTGAAAAGAGTACATGCTGTCCTACCCAAGGATTTGGAAAACCGCAACAAAAGCTACAAAATCCAAAGGGAGAGACAGCCATCAATGGCATTTACCCCACTGTTTATGCAATAAGTTCCATGAGATCAAAACAAAACCACTGGCGTGAAAGGAATAATTCAACCTACTTTTGAGAATTCATGGTTGAATGTAACATTGACTCAGGCAGCAGATTAGGGGTTTGAACCCCTACTCCTCCATTCACTCCCATTGGATTTGCACCTAGAAAACAGAAGAATACTTATTCTTAAATGAATAGCCCATTTACTGTGCAAAATCAGTAACTGCTCAGCAGTAACAGGGGTCTAGACTTCGAAGTTATTTGACTCTTGTGAAGCAAGTTGAATTACCCATTGCTCTCTTTACCCTCTTCCTTCTATGAGCTTAGAAGAAGTCTAAGGCCCAACATGAATGACCTCCAAGTGAAGCATCACACCACAGTACTCCTCCGCACATCTTCCTGAACTTCTGAATAAACAAGCAATTTCAATTTGCTGCAAATGTTATGTACCAGAGTTTTTCTGTGACTCCCTAACCAAAGATTCAGCATTACCAACCATTTTCGTTTTTTCATTTAGAAGCGTTTGGGGTTTTTTGTCATTTAGGGGCTTACCATATATATTGACAAAGGCTTCAAAAACTTAAAACATCAGCTACCACCTATATCTGACAAGGTCCCCTCTCACCTACTCCATGCTTAAGGATCCTACAACTAACTCCAGTGTCTGTACTAACAAGGAAAATCTGACAATCCTACGCAGGAATAAACTCTAGTAATTTGTTACATACCAAAATCCACTTTTCTGAATCACATCAAATCTCAATCACACCATAAAAAATTGCCAATTTTCTTGACACACTACAGTTAAGACCCAAAGAGTGAAGAAAAAAGTAGCGTATTTCTGTCTGGAGCTTCTGATCATTTTGTGAGGCTGAGAGTAGGATGAAAGCTATTACTAACCTGTGTGTGTATTTAGGACATCTGAATCCTACAGAATCTGTATTTCAAGCAAAATTAGACACTGTGTACAAGAGAAATCCAACTGAAATTAAGTATATCAAGCCTAATACCTACCTCTAATATCACAACCAAGTGTTTATCTGTCTTTTCATAAAGCTGCCTTGAGCCTCCCTTCCCTTAGTCACTTTCTTCTCCTTCCCAAATTCACTTTGCCATCTGAGAGCAAGCTAGCGTAGAAGACAAGTGTCAAACTTTGCCTTAAACTCTCCCTTTTCAATTGCCAAAACCAACCATTTGTTTGATTTATGTAGGACTGCACCTTTTCACATCACAGCCCTCATCAAATCCTGCTGTTTCTCCTTAACTAGTCCAGTTGTCATGTAGGCCATGACCCGGTAATTCCTTTCTCACCTGTCGTAATTCCCCCCTTAGCCACCCACTCCTAATCAGGAAACAATTGTCAAAAGTCTAGACTCTCCATGCCTATCCTTTCTATATTAAGCTTCTGTTCTTCACTCTCCAACAGCTTTTCAACCCCATTTCATTGCATTTTCTTATCAGTGCTACAAGGAGTGCCCAATAAGAATGCACAGGCCAAACTCTATGTCTATTAATAAATAAAAACCAGAGAACCGTTTTGTTTCAGAAAAATGGGTGACATTTCTTTCAACCTTTCAAGGCTCTCACTATAACATTTTGGAGCTTCTAGAAATTTCTCCATTTGTAATACACTCTAACACACAGAAAACCGTATTATTTTAATCTAATTGTTTTAAGACTAAGCTCTCAGGACCCTTCACACTGCTCCCCTTTTATAAAAAAAGCCTTTACACACTGGAAGGCAAAGTTTTAGCAGTATACAAGTCACATGTAACCTACAAGGACCAGTAATCTCACTAACAAGGCTACTCTACCCAACCACCTTTTCCTGAGTAACTCAGGAGTAGCATGTCCTTTGGTGTAGAAATGGCACATCAACCTGCAGCCTGCAACAAATTGCTACTCTCCTCTGCAGTCTCTAAGGTCCTTCCCCATGGAATTCGTGTGCATACACAGCACTCATTGCTTATTGCTTGTCATGGGGCATATAGGCAGGATCACTGCAATCCCAAACAAGCTTGTGATAAATCTCTACCAGCCATCTTTCCTCTTTTCCAGTAAAAAACCCACCTCTACTTAAGCAACTCAAGCAAAGCAGTGATGTAATCTCAAACTATCAAAATTAGATTTGATGGTTAAAGGTTACTCCATTTGACAACAGTGACAGCCAGGTTAGAATTAATTGCACTTCAAATGAAAATTATGTAGTCTTCTGTGATTTTGCAATAAGCCACCCAGACAATTTACAGTTACATGAGTCCACGTGACAGGATTCAGAAAGTCTGTTATTTACTACTTTTAATTTTAAAACAAACATTACATATCTGAGATACAACTGCAAAATGCTGCAGTCTGAGTGACAAGGAAATACACCTGAATACAGGCATTCCAATGAATGCATTTCCAACTAAAAACTCCTAAAAGGTTTGCATTACCGTACAATTATAAAGCTACAAAACAACATTAAATAAAATGCTTTGGAAAACTGATTCTTAAAAGAAAAAAAATAATTTTTCCAAAGAAAATACTTTTCCCAGATAACTTGTTTTCCAAGAGAAGGCATCTGGGCCCTCTAATATTCCTGTTCCACTCATAGCTTGCTATTTCAAGTCTAAAATATAGCAAAGCCATACCTTTTGCAAATTAACTAGCAGCATTAAGCTAGTAGGTTAAGTTGCATTAGATATAGTATGGGAAAGGTGCCTGCAGTTTGTATTTTAATACTAACAGATAAACTTACTCATAGGATTCATAGGGCGCAGACCCTGGGGCGACTGTCCTTGTTGCTGATTCTTCACTTGAGCCTGGGGCTGTGTTTGCATCTGGTTCCCTTGATAGGTCAGTCCAAGGGCTGCGTAGGCTCTCTCGATGGAGCTGGGGTCTATCTGACTGGTAGTGTTTATGCTGGGCGTTGTCTGCTGCCCCACACCCACGGAGACAGTATTTGCAAGTCCTACTGCAGCTCCGCCCAGCAGCGCTGGAAGAGACATACCAATTTAATAAGGACAGCAGGAGGTAGCCAAAGAGGACCATGAAAATAGGGGACGAACATAAGAATGCACTGGCGCTTCCTAACTAAAACATCTCCTTCTAGGAGCATATAAAGAAAAGGCCAGGTCTGGAAAACCTGTCATGAAACAAGGAGAGAATTTTTGACCCAACTGGCCATTCCAACAACATGCTATTTTGCCTTTGAGCTGCTGAGAAGAAATCCCACTCTAAGTATTTAGGACACATCTGTTTGCTTCAAACTGAAAAGAGAGGCACACCATGTCAGAGGGGCTAAAGGTAGAAGGGTACATACAACTCTTCAGCAGCCATTGTAATGCCTTTCTTCTTTTTAAAAATTTTCTTAAAACAAGAAATATCTCAGCTCACATTAGTCATGAGAAGAGCCCAAAGTAGCATTAAGAAAGGAGAAAAAAACCAAGCATACAGGTAACACAATGACAAAAATCTTGCCAAAGATTTTGTCAAGAAGACCAAGGGGATACAAAGAGAAGGGTGAAGAGACATCTCATGCAAACAAAGGATGAAGACAGAACCAAGTATCACCAGGGCTGAAATGATACAACCCTCCATGTGTGCACATCTGTATCCAGAACCTGGCCAGCTGGAAGAGGTGGTAGTGAAAAGACACTCATTTGGTTGAGAGAACTATGACTTGTTCACCCTTACCACTCTCCTGGCTAGGAGAATCCAATGAAGTTAGAAAGCTTCCATAAACACTAGCTATCAGACATAAAAATACTCTGCGACTGTGAAGCAAGAGGAAAATCATATTACATGTTCCCAGGTTCAAGAGCATTACCACTATCATCTGGATGCAAGAAAGTTTAACTCCCAACATGCATTTTATGGTTTATCCAATACACAGAATTCCCCAGCAGGCTTACATTGTTGATTTCTTTTGTCTCCAGCATTTTTGAGAGGCAAACATACAGGACAGTCATGCCTTGTACAATTCTTCCAGTGCGAGATGATTTGTCGGGAAGATGCACAATGTGCCACTGAGAAAGGGAGGAGAATGAAAAACTTTCACAAACTACTGCCAGTATCTCTACATGGTCAACAAAAACTGGGTAGGGAACAACCATTTCTCTCAGGGCACACATCTGTATCAACACAGGCCAGTAAAGTATTACTTGCAGTAGGTCAGCACTACCTAGCCCTGAAAATGTAGCTAGATTTCTTCAAGTACTATTAGCTCAACTAAAGCTTACTTGAAACTTACTTATGTTATACACCCAAGCCCATGTCTCCCTGGCTCAAAGGATAACACCATATACATCAGGCAGACTGTAGCAAGCAAATGAGATGCCAGCAACTGGCACAACGCAGACAAGCCTAGGCTACCAAAAAGGTAGCATACATTTTCCTTGGCTACTAGGATAGACTAGGAGTTCACCAGTGCCCATTAGCGCTATTGCTTGAGATTTATCTCCTCTATTTAAGGGAGACAGACAGACTCTTACTTGCAGATTCCTGCTTTGTGTCTACCCTTATCAGAGGGCAGGATCCCAAAGATCTTACTGTGAGTTACAAACAAGCAAAAGATCTTCACTCATCTTTTTGTGCTATCTTGTCCCCTCTAACTTGTCTAAACTTTAAAGGCTCAGAAGTTGTTTATGATTTCCACTCTTAATGGGACAGATAGATTAAAAAAAATTCTACTTCCCAAGCCACCCACTAGTTCTCCATTTCCTTCTAGGAGCCCTTCTCATCCTGCAAATGTTGACCCCATCTATATAATCACTCCTCCACTTACCCTGGCAAGATTTGCCAGCTTGACAATGTGTCATGTGGTTCAGGACATTCTTCATGGTTCGGCAATGAGGGAGGTTGCACTGTCGCACCTCCCCGTTGGCCTGTTCTCGCCGCTGACACTTGTGAGCATGTAAGAGGAGAACTAGTTGCTGCTGAATGAGTTTGCGTTTTTCTGGATCTGCTGTCGGTGCTCCAGACCCCATTCCTTGAGAAGCTGCTGGCCCTATCCCAGCTTGCTGAACCTGGGGAGCCTGCTGCTGGCCCTGGAGAAGGTGGAAAGGAAAGTTCCCATAAATAAATTTATTTGAAAATAATCCAGTTAGCAAGTATAAAACAAAAAATCAAATAAGAGAAAACTACTACATTCTGTGATTAAGGGAATAGCCCATCTATCCGTAGTTCTAGATGACTCATATTAAATATACCCCTTAGCAACAGCACTGGCAATAACTCTCTTGCCCCCATATCACTCTACTAGTCCTAGGTCTTGCCTTATCAAAGGCCAGCAGAACTTTGCACATGCTCACAGGTGAATTTGCAGTGCTAGACCAACGAGAAAATATTAATAGCACTTAGACCTCAAATCTCTTCCTCATTTTGGAGGCTAGAAAGTTGCATCCACAATTCTTGCATTAACAGAAGAAAGCACATTTTAGAACGAATAGAATTTTCCCTCTATTTGCCTCAATTTGACTGTTCCTAGAAAAGAGGAATGAAGGGGAAGTTCTGGGAACCTTTTTCTATCAGGAAAATAGCACGTAGGCATCCAAAACAAGTATCTCCTAATCTCTGCTAGAGATGAAGCACAACTTCAGGATAATACATGCCACAGAATTAATGTCAAGTATGGCAACATCTAGTACTTCTTCTGTACTTCTGTTTATTTCTTCAGACTTCTCTGTATTTCTTCCAGGTGACATTTGAGGAGTACTCATCAAAGAAGAGAGGGTCAGGGACACTATGCTGCTTATATCAATTCAATTCAACAGCGTGCAGTTTCTAACAGACTCTTCACAGAAGGTTTTAGAGGATGTTTCTGGAGATCTCCAGATTTTCAGAGCTCAGCTACTTGCATTCCTAAACCCCAGTTCTCCTGTAGCTCTTCAATACTAGTATTAACCTTTCATTTTACAAGGAGGCTTCAATTACTCAGAGCCCTCAGGCTTTGTATGTGTTCCAGCGTGACTGTAACTGCCTTGGAGCCTGTCATTCTAAATGACAACTGAGATAGCAGCAACTTTTCATTCCTAGGTTCAGCTAGGTAGCAGTTCAGCTTCAAAAGTTGACTGGTGTCAGTTCACTGCACTCAACACAAGCTTGACAACTGGGGTTCTGAACATCAAGTTTAGCCTGCTTCTTCATTGGTTCATACAATCAACTGGTTGTGCTAGTTTCATGCTCTACTTAAAAAACATTAAATAAAACTCACTGGATTGAGCCCTTTTTAATTCAAAGGTATGAAAGTTACCTGGAAATAGTTTTTCAGCAACGGTTACTAAGATCAAGAGAATGACCCCCTCAGGCGTGGGAGGTAGAATTTGAAACAGGGAGAAACACAAACTATATTCAGAAATGTGGATTTGTTATCCAAATTAAAAACAATATATGTAGGAGGGGAAAAAGGCAGAACATGTTGCGTGTTTAACATCTTTATCGATGACCCGGATGAGGGGACTGAGTGCTCCCTCAGTAAGTTGGCAGATGATACCAAATTGAGCGGGTGTGTTGATCTCCTTGAGGGTAGGGAGGCTTTGCAGAGGGATCTGGACAGGCTGGACCGATGGGTTGAGGCCAGTTGTATGAGGTTCAATAAATCTAAGTGCTGGGTTCTGCACTTTGGTCACAAAAACCCCCTGCA